TTGTGTTTGATATGCCATACACTGATCATGAATTTGCATCTCGGGTCAAATTATCGTTGAAAAATTACCATTCCTCACGATATTGGAGTATTATATCATAGTTCACCATGGTTCCTCAATTCAGTTCTGATCTAGACTGATGATTATTTTTGAAAATAAAATAACCGTACTAAAATCCGTCCAATTATATTTTTTATAAACGCTCTCAAACGCGTTAAATATTCTAATGTGATTAAAAGGGATGTAATATTTTCTTTCTTCCCAACAAAAAATTCGCACGTGTTAATTTGTCCGTTCGTCGTTTTATTTCGTTTATTTACCTGAGCCCGTAGAGCAATCTTTTTTTCTAGCTTGTAAAAATATACACGTATCCTTGTCTTAAACATCATTCATTTTTCTTTCTTGAGCCATATGATGTAGTTAGAAGAAGGATTATGGAGAATCTGGGTGATAATATTAGTTATTTTAAATTTCATTCATTATTTGCAATCGTTCTTCTAGATTATAGTCAACTATGTTATAACAGACGTAACTTCCAAAATTAATCTAATAGGATTGTATTTTTGTTTTATATATTTTATGTTGCAAAAAAAATTGGAAAAAGAAATATTTAAACAGAGAATGAGCAAAAATTAAAGGTGCGAAAAAGTATACTATAAAGCATAATATATCATATCTGTTGAATATATTCATAAGAATATACTTCATCAACAAACTTCAAGCAAAGTTTTTTGATATTAATAATATTTTTATTTATTCATCTACTTTACATTTATTTTGTATCGCACCATTTAGATAAATACAATATTTTCTTTATTTTTATTCATTCAACATAATCTAATTGAAATCAGTTATTATTCCAATAATAATTTATTCTTGTGATTGTAAATTTGTTTTTTTTCATGATATATTTCAAATAAGTAAAATTTTGTACTGCAATAGGACTATTGTGTTATTTTAATTTTTTACAGTATATTTAGATTATTTCTTTTTTGGTTTTAGTTGTCTAATATATGATGAAAACTCGGTTTGAATGAACATTAACTTTGATTCACTTCAATTAAGAAATTGAAATGAACTAACAGTACAACATTTATTCATATAAGAGAGAAAAAATCAATCATGCATATAAAAGGCTGTTTTGTAAATCTTTATTTTTATTTTTATATTTTGATGTATGTATGATATTTATGAATAAAGAAGAAAATAAAATATGGCCTTGAACAGTCAGTTTAGAGATAATAAAATAAGTATAGAAGAAATAAGAGTTACTCACTCGCTCACAAGTCACTTTTGTGCTTTGCCATTGGTGCACAATATTTATACAAAGAAAATTTGTATGTATGTTTTCTTTCGTTCTATTACATTAATACACTAATTGTCTGCAATGAATAATGTGCGTGACTAACAAACAAAAATAATAACTAGTGAGTCAATGTATAATATATTTTTCATCTGTAATGTATAAATAAATACTCTTTTGAAACATTTTGATTTATTTTAATTCGTAATATTTTATGATTGTGGTGACGAACAAATAAATAAATACGTAAATGAATAAAATAACATGAAAATAAATGAAATCATAAAAAACAAGAAAATACGACTTTAACGAGATAGTCTGGAAATAAAAAGTGAAATAAGATTGACACGAGAAGAATGAAGAACGTTTGTACATAATTTTTATTTTTTATTCTTTTTAAACAGTACTAATACAAATAACAAACGATGCAGTAAGTGTTGATATGAATGTATTGTAGAATATATACAGAAACATTAATTATATCCATGTCTTCTAATTGCTCATCGATTTTTTTTAGATAATTAGATAACGTTTATGCTGTTCAATTCATCAGGCATTTCTATGTTCAAAAGAGAAAGCATCTTTGATTGTTTATATGAAACTTTTTAAGTATAAATTAAACAGTTTTTATTGAAGGTATTGACTGTATCTTGTTAGATGCACATGCTTCATTAATGCGAGACAGTCGTCTAATACATGTTCGTTTTCGTTTCTTTCTCGAGGAGATCAAAGGTGAGCTTCTTTGCGAGTATGACAAAAATAATTATTACCTACGCATATTTCTTCATATATTCTTGCTTATTTTCTTGCTACTTGGAAAAAAGAACAACCAATCCATTACTGATCACTGCAATAAAAATAAGATACAAAATTTTTATTCGTTGAATTTATTTTTCTTCAGACAGCTACGTTCGTTGCGAATCGTTACTTATACAATCGAAAAATAACATTATAAATGTGCTTTTCTACGTAATTACTTCTTTATTTTTTCCCAGTATGGAGAAAAATCATTCATGGGTGAATGATCACTGCAGTTAAAAAACGCATATATGTGTGTATTTCTCATACTTTTATTCAGTTTTGTTGGTAATTTTTTTTATTTGCAACTGGTCTCTTCATTCACTCGTATTTTACATCGATCGTCGAATATCATATTCAACAGGTAACTACTACTGTAATATTTTTATTTGATAAATAGTATTTATATGATATATTATCATATTCTAATCTATTACTCTAAGAAAAACTATATTTCCTAGTTGTATTAATTTTTTTATTCTTTTGAACGAGATGAGGAATCAAGAAAGTTATCTTTGATCTTTTGAAGTTTCTTTGTACAATACGTCTATATGATTTTAAATTTATGTTGTATTTTCTGCACATATCTCTCATATATGAATCTTGTGATGTCACTCCTTTGAAATGAGTTAGTTTAGAACAATCGACTGTTGTAGCATCGAGAAAGTTTTTGAACTATATGAGTATCTGAACACAAAACGATAGCAAAAACTGTCCGTTAAACTATCAGGTCCCATTTATATTTCAATTCAATAAAACTCAAGTACACAAATCTTATGTTCGTAAGGTCAAACCGTACAATAATTTATTTGGTGTATATCTGAATTTTCAAAACGAAGAAACACGCATTTATTCATAGGCACAAATAAAATTTAAAGAGGTCATGCGAAATCTATATCATATATGCACCATCACTTGTGCCGTTTTGCAGAATGGTGGAATATGAAGAGTTATAGCATCATATATACACCATCTCTAGTCCTCTTTCAATGAGTGGTAGATTCTGAAGAGTTGTAGTATCATATATACACCATTTCTACTCTTCTTGTGTTGGGTGATGAGATGTTATGAGTTGAAGTATTATGTATGCACCATCTCTAGTTCCCTGTCATTGGGTGATAGAATATGAAGAGTTGTAGCATCGTGAGGGAGGGCATAGGTGAGATAGAAAGAATCACATCCACACGTACACCCTCAAAATCTTTCGCTTATGAGATTTGTAGAGTGAAATTTTGATCAGATCAGCAGATGTCGACTAAATATGTTGCATGGACCACTGTACAGTCAGCTACAACCATTTTTTCTGAAGCACGAAAAAGATACTCGAGAAAGAACCGTATTTTGTTCGAACTTCAAAGGATTCTGAATATGCTAGACAACTCTTACATCTTCAACGATTCAGTCTAAAATCATTTTTTGCAAAGCATGCTGTTACAGAGAGTGTATGGGTATAAATGTTGACATCATGTCACACCCACACCCTCGTTATCTCTTAATATTTTTCCAAAAAATCCTCTTTTCAGTGAAGAAATAAAACATTTACCTGTCAAGTCATAACATCTCAGACTGTCTGCTCATTTTTTACAGAGATATTAAAGATGAAACATGATCTTTGAGAAAAAAGCCGTTCTTATTATAGAGGTATATATGCTGTTCACGTATAAATCTCTGAGATAGGTATGAAATTCTTTGGAAGAATACTTCATAAAATACTTCTTCAATTGTATAAACTATCTTTTTATAGGATTCGAAAGGTTGCATACAGTCTTCTACGCTCTCGTTATACGAATATTTATGGACAACATGATTAAAGTGTGGTTTCAACGCAACCAAAACATTCCAACGAAAACCAGTATAAATCCTGATGCAGATATCGATGATTTAAAACAGAAGATTTTTGATACAACTGATGTTGAACAATATCAGACGATGTACAACGGCATAATATTGAAACCATCGGCGAAGATTCCACAGGATACAACTGACGATATGCCAATTGTATTTACTAAAATTGATATTGTACCACCTTCAGGTAAGCCAAAAAAATTTAATTAGTGTTACTTCCATTGAATTAAAATTGGAAACTATCATATCCGTAAGACTTCAAGAGTGATTATACTGTGCGCATACTGCAATGTTTATGTATTCATATTTGACAATATTAAAAATTGAATAGATATCTATGGAATGTCTACATTAAGCTTAACCAAGTCAAAAAATCAGTGTAATGAGTAACTACGAATAAAAACTCAGGAATATAAGATGTGAGCATGAAAGTGTGATTGTGGGGCGTGCATGAATGCGGGTGTTAGGTATGGGTCGACGTTTACTGTTCTTACTCATACGCACCACACCCACACTATAACTGTATTAGTTTTAATAATATTATTCAGTTTGTATTTGCACGAAAACCATAAAACTTCTTAGTTTCTATATGATTTGATAGAGTATTAATTACATCATTCTCACTGCTTAAACATACATAGTTCAGCTCAAATATGATTGTTATGAAAATAGTTTTAGATGAAAGATACTCATCGATCTTAAGATCTCGCAAAGCATTGAATGATACTGTTTTGGAGTAAGAGAATAAGTAAGTTTTACTGTCAGAATTCCGCATAGTTATGGAATGCTAGCGTCTCACTATTATTCGTACAATCTTGAAGAGGAGACACATAGCTGACTCATAAACTGGTCCAACATGAAAATCTTCCTCACTATACAAGCAATGCTTTTCTCTTCAACACTATATTTCTGTCAATTCATTTAAACGATTTTCGTGGTTATATCGCAGTGTAGGCAATAAGAATCTAGTCATATAATTATAGAAAATTTCTGCGAAAAAGAAATAATGTAGTATCTATCATTACTCTTAGAATTTATTACAAAGTGTCTTCTTTTCTCATGATAGATATAGCATATCGAAAGCTATAAAATGGGAATGAAACATTTAGAATTTTTGAATAAATATGAACGAATAAAAGCAAAGCAGTTGACTAATACATTATTATTAAGTAGATGAATTTTGTAACAGTTTATCTTCTCGATCAAAATGATACAATCAGTTGAAGTTTTTTGAATTTTAAAGCGAATCAAACTGAAATCGCGGAATATCGAAGAAATCGTGAACCGAAATGGTTGCAAGTCGGAATAGTTTTTAAAATCCTAAACCAAATCGAACTGTATCAAATCGGATTTTTGTAAATATTATGTCGAACATAATTAAAATAAGTTTATGTCTGTTAGTCATTATATACATATAAACCTATGAACAAACAGTATTATTGATCGAATGTGACAAAACGAAGAAATATATTAAGTTCGCTAGACTACTAGACATAACTAATCTTCGGTTGCCGTGGAAGTTTGTCAACAGCGATCCCTACATTATTTAGCTCCCGCTGTATAGGACAAAACCACTAAGTTGTACGTTAATAAGTATTCTATTCATCTTAATCAATCCCTATAGTGATAATGAGTCCAGCACTCCACTACCTACTATAGTTTGCTATGCTTTGATTATCGCGAAAATGGGTTGCTGTCACTCAAGTGTGTGGGTGTGAGTGGGTGAGGATGTGGGTGTAGGTGTGGCTATGAGGATAGTGTACTTCCTATAGCTACACATACATCCACACCCCAGCCCAGCCCATCCCATACTCACACACTCACACTCACACCCTCAAGATGGTTCTTTAAACTGATCTAAAAATAGATACGCACGTGAGTTGTTATTTTTTAAAAAAATTCGGTTGTAAATAAACCAAATTTACTTCTTTATCTTGACAGTTATCATCGATTTCTGCAGGTTTGCAATCTTGATAACTGAGTGCAGTGGTAGTCAGACCTTTTTTCTCAATTTATCACAGAGACTATAACTCATTATTTAGAAAAACCAACAATCGTTGCACCAAAGATACAATCACCATATTCTGATAAGAAGCTTGATAGGAAGTACACATTTACGTATTGATCTTCAAACATGATACCAAATTAAAGTCTTTTCTGTCAAGAGATTAGAGTAAATGAATGCAATTTTTGTTCTGATTATTCACCATGAATATGATCTTGATTTATTTGATTCGGACAAAGTAAAGTGTTATCAAAAGAATAAGATAAACGAACAGACATCGGCGGACGTTATGATGATTCATTTTCTATATATTCACAGTGATATTACGAATTTGTAAGCTTCTTCGACATGAAACAATATACAGAAACAGAGCTATGCTTAATGTTATTATCCTTTCATGCAATCTCCGACTCAGTGGTTAATTAAAATAGTTAGTCAACATTGAACAAAGTTTTTGAATGCAATTTTTGCGCCAAATGTCATGACTATTCAATAAATACATAATTTATTTTCAAGTAGTTAACTTAAATTTATTGGATGAATATTGACAAAGTAAATGAATGAAATATTGGGGAATGCCGTTATTGTCAGTCATTTGTTATGCGATCTTGAATGGTCGCATCAATCTCGACGGTGCATGGTCAATTTATCATTAAATATGAATTAAAGTATGATGATAGCGATTCATACGATATCTAATCTTCATACCGTTACTATGCGGGGAAACTTAACCACCTTACTAATAAAGTAAGTGAATAGATAGATTGGTAAGTAATTGCTTAACTTTAATGCGACCTTTGATATATCGATTTCTATTATGTCTCTTGTTTTCGGAGAAATAGAGAAAGCGAACAGGACTGCTGGCGAGTACTCATTCACTTGCTACTTGGTCTATAATAGCTAACTATTCTCTAAGCTTTGCTCTACAATAAATACAATAGATGAATAAGTTTTTCCTTACAAATATTCATTTACAATGCATTCTTGAATTCTACGGTTGATGTATAAGTACTAGCCTATGTGAATTAAAATAATTGAATCAAAGAATGATGGCAATACACTTTATTCCTCAATTATGTAGTTTCTTTTATCAATGTGATTGGTTGAGCTTCTAATTCGTTGGATTAACAGAGGTGAACGATATTATAAGAAATCGATTGTCCATATGTTAGGTAATATTCCATTTTCGGGTCAGTTCAATCATTTTATAAATAAGTGAAGAAAAAGATTGGATAAGATTTGAGTCATGAGTGATCATTTCCTTTAACAACGTGAATCAGCATGCATAGTCTCGTCATTTATTTGTAAACTACTGTAGTAGTCGAATAAAGATTTTATTAAAGTTATTCTTTTATCCTGTCATAAATGATCAAGTAAAGTATCGGCAAAAGTCATAGAAAATTATACAAATATTGGATGTAAGTATACAAAAGTGCTTATCCATTTGCCGTACGATGTTTGATCAGACTGTGATGCCGAGAGTATTTTCTACTGTGAGCATGAAATGTGATTTAAACATGCGTTTTAACTATTCGTTAGTTACGTAGCATGTGATCAATTTATAGACGATGAACTATCGATTTGAATGATGATATAAACAAATAGAATGCTAATAGAAATCATTTATTTGATATGTAATCATTATTCTACTGGAAAATGAAACAACTTTGTTGTATTGTGAGTCAGATAACTGAGCAAAACTTTGGTTTTAAGTATTCATTAACTAAATAAACATTCATCGAATGATAGTGCATCCGTATAACTTCAACGTAAGAGTAAACGATGAATAACATCTTGCCAAATGCGATTTCGCACATTCAGCGACTTTGCGTACTATTGTAGTTATTCAACTCCAAGGCTTTCCTTCTGAGTGAGCCAAAGAGTTGAACAAAACAGTTATGATTATACTTGTGCTGCTGATGCTGATTATGAGAAATATTCATTAGTCATGGAATATTCTATAAGATTACTAATGCACACGTTTTATTAAAGATTATTCATATATTTTGTCGACAAGTAGCGGTAGTGACGCTAAAAGCCACATGTAAAGATTATGAAGGATAATATACTCAGTAAATACTGACGCAGTTATAACGTTGATTGGCAGTGAGAGTGAAAACGTCTTCCAGTGGAAAGCAGTGCAATATAACTTGATCCAATAAAAATGATGACATTCGAGTGATCGAGACGTTTGCAACAGACTCCGGAAGTAATTATATATACAGTTAGGGCAATAATGATCGATCTTCGTGTGACAGTCTTGCAGTATTGGTAAAATGTTTAAACTTTAAAATAAAGATTTACAACAAAATATATTTTTCTTTAATTGCAATAGAAATTTTCATTATTAACGGTTTTGGTTGTTAAATACTGCTCAGTGCCTATGATTGACTATTGTTGCAGCAGCCGAAAGGATATGAGCAAATGTCTCTTCTTATGTTAGATAAGGATGGTGAAGGAAACGTGAAAAGGTAGAGAGTCAACTGAGCGTTTGGATAACAGTTACTCTGATTATTCTTGTTGGCGGTAATTAAGATCAAGACCACTACGTTATATAACGGTGAGTATGAGTTGTTAGGCAAAGAATCTATTTCCTCTTTGTTCAGTTTCGTATTTTTACGAGAGTGGATCAATTTCTCTGTTGGTTATAACAATGCCAGTTCTTACTCAGAAGCAGAACTGAGTTAGAAATGCTGAAATTATAGGTAGTGCAGAGCTTTTATGATGGTAGAATCTATTTGCAAACAGTAACAAACGAGAAAAATAACTGATTGATAGGAAGTATTGTCACAGCCAGAAATCAAGGGCCAATATTTCCGTACATTTTTTCTCATCAGGGAAGCGAGTAACTTGCTCAAAACTAACTAAGTCCCTGATAAAGATTCAGTAACTCAATAATATATAAATCGTTTTCACTCTTTCGTACGGACTAAATAAATGAATACTTCTTTCTTTGGCTAGTGATAGATATAGTTGCCAGGATCTATATTTTGTATTTTATAGTGCCTCCAGCTTTACTACAAGATACATATACGTACATCTCATGTGACTTGAATGCACTTATTCAAATACATAAAGTATCTATAATAAGACAGAAAATGATAGAAGGGATCAAATGTTTGGTTTGATACACTTATGAATATGCACATAGATACATATACTAGATGCTGTGAATGACAAGAATAAAAGGAAAAATAGTGAGCTA